GCTGGGCGCCCAAATGGTTACACAACTTATTCTTTAGACCTACATGGCTATTTCTGAATGATTCTTTAGACCTACATGGCTATTTCTGAATGATTCTTTAGACCTACATGGCTATTTCTGAATGATTCTTTAGACCTACATGGCTATTTCTGAATGATTCTTTAGACCTACATGGCTATTTCTGAATGATTCTTTAGACCTACATGGCTATTTCTGAATGATTCTTTAGACCTACATGGCTATTTCTGAATGATTCTTTAGACCTACATGGCTATTTCTGAATGATTCTTTAGACCTACATGGCTATTTCTGAATGATTCTTTAGACCTACATGGCTATTTCTGAATGATTCTTTAGACCTACATGGCTATTTCTGAATGATTCTTTAGTGAGGGTTTTTAATTTTTTTTGTTTTTTGTAAGACGACCCTTCATTGTGATGTTTGGTGATAAGAATGTAGAATTTTTTTCTCACGCCGTCCCGGTAAATGTGCTAGTTTGACATAAAAACAACTTTAATAGATCCCATCAAGAAGTATCCACAAACTGCATTAAAAAAAAAACATTTCATTGATTCAATTGTGCCATGTCATTGTTTTAAATTGACCATACCATAAAGTATAAGGACATTTGAGATAACACTTGTAATGGTATTGTAAACAAAAATTTGAAAAGAGAACACGTTTTAATGATCTAATGAATAAAGACTCATGAACACACACACAAATTCGTTTATATTATAAATACAGGTTACAATTTATAAAATACAAAACTCATAGTATCTGTGTCAAAACTATAAAAATATCCCAGTCTCACAAAGTTGTGCACATTTTGTCATGTCATTTTGATGAGTGCTATTTCATTGTTGTTGTTTGCGGTTACAAAAATAACTTTTATGCTTAAACTGACGGGTAAAATGACCACTGTAAGGTAAAGTGACACATGCATGTTAAACTGAAATCTGTACGGTCAAATGACCCCTGTAAGATAAAGTGACCCCTGGGGGGTAAACTGATTCTGTACGGCGACTGATGTGCTTATTTTAGAATCAATATAATAATAAAACTTTTTTTCCGATGAAAATGTTTTTGTTAATTTAAAAGTAGGGCCAATATTTATTAAAATTTTCGACTTTAACTTCAAGTGGAAATTAGTGATTTTTTTAAGAAGTAGGTCATAAGATAACCGTTTTGACCATTACACTTTTTTATGTAATGGACTCAAAATTTCATTGACTTTTGTTTGTTAATAGTTCACTAAAATGTTAGCGTTAATTGACTTGAAGTGTCTAGTCGTGCTGAACTAGAAGATCGATCTTCATACATTGCTCAATGGATTCATCTTCTTGTTGCGCTCATATTTACTTAATTAACTTAGTTGTATCCATCTAACCCTAATGATTGGCAACTGTCAAGTGAATCCAAAGACTATTAATCAGATGTACCAATTAACTGTCAAAACATGAGTCATTCTAAAACCTTCAAAGTCTAGGAATAGTTTTCTTTTTAAAGAAAGGGATTTCTGTTAATTATTCCTAACAGTGATTAGCATAATTGGTAATACACAAACATAAATTAATGCGTGTTTGATGACTTGAAACAATCTACGAACCGATGAACAACCGCGCACATAGTATGTCTTCAGTGTAAGAAATCATCATTAGTAACTATTCATTAGCCAAATAAATTAGCTACATGATAGCTTACAAATTAATAGGCATGCACTCACATTATATTTTCGGTCTCCCCTAAAAAGAGAGAGAAATTAAATGGATTTAAAATGGAAAATATACCAATTATATTGAAGTTTTTAAAAATAATAACAATTCGAATAGCTGTAACAATTTTTGTTCTTTAATTCACAACATACTTAATTAAATCTTTACCATTTGAAACTGAAACACACTCTTAAAATTAAAATATACATATTATTTGTCATATTTTGTTATATTTAAAAAAAAATTAAATATAAATTTTTTTCTTGTAATGCATAAATGTCTAATTATGTCGTAACATCGTAAATAAAGCAATTTAATTATTATTTTATTAATGTAACAACTGGACATCTGGACATTGCATGTGTTATATAAGTTCACCAAATAGTTTTGGGGTCGTCGAACAGAACAGTCACCGTGCTCCCAAGTCATCAAGTCAGACTCGCGAATTTTCCATTGATATGCATGTTGGGAAAAAAGCACTTAGTTCTAACAAACCAATAGTTCGGTTCTTAGTATGATTATGTACACTTTGATAACTTACAATGTTAACAGTTCAGTAACAACGGTGGCCGTGTTAAGGGGTGGGATGGGGAAGGGAAGTGTTGTTGTAGATTAAACAAACCAAACGAATCGGGCATATAATCAATCAACTGTAAACATGGGGATGATGTTTTAAATTATGTACATTAATGTCATGGTGATAATTACAGGGGCGGACGTGATGATTTTTTTAAAATGAGAAATGTGGGTGGGTTAGGACATAAATCATTTCATAGAATCATTATTTTCATGGGCGAATCCTTCATGTTAGCAGACGTGCTACTGGGACAGGAGATATAAACACCAGTACCTGGTAATAAATTTAAGGTGGATGGTGGTTGGGGGGGGGGGGGGGGGATCAATAAGAAAGAAACCGAACCTTCTTTAAGCCTTCTTACATTTTTCTTCTTTTCGGCTTGTTCTTATTTAATGAAGATAAGATTACAAAATCATAACTTAAATTATTCTTTTAAAGTATTAAGAATCTTTTTTTTTAAAGTAATTATTTTAACTTACAGATATTTAAAAAAAAAATTAAGCGCATTCTAGACCATCATATAACGAAGTGCAATAATCTGTATCCAATGCAAATTGTATTAGCAGAGTTAAGCTGCAATAGTCTTATAAATTCTGTTATGACAATATTTACATTAGTCGTAAAATAGTAAACTGCAAATTGAAAGTTAACATATACTTAATGATCTATAGAAAATGCTAGGGCCGAGCAGTTTTTTATACCAGGTCCGTGTCCTTTTATTTTGAGAAAATACCCGAAGGGTTCCAGTCCGTGTCCGAGGGTTAAAAAAAAAAGGAGTTATCTTTTCATTTCTCTAATGCGTTACAACAAGGGAGGAGAAGTGGAAAGTGACCGTATTTAAAAAGTACAGATCACTGAGGCATCAAATTTGAAGGTTTCAAAACACTAGCTTAATAATATAATTATAACGCAGCGGTTCTCAAACGTATAGTGCCGCGACCCCTTTATAAAAATTAACCAATTTGATTTGACTATTGCCCAGCATAATACCTTAAAATTGTGAAACATGTGTAGAAAGTGGGTTGGGGGGGGGCAAGGCTTTTTTTAAAATAAAAGGATGTTGGTATTTTAATTTTTATCAAGGGTTTGAGGCTTCGGTAGAGGGAGTTATTTTGGAGGTTTCGGAAGAGGGAGTTATTTTGGAGGTTTCGGTAGAGGGAGTTATTTTGGAGCCTTCGGTTGAGGGAGTTATTTTGGAGGCTTCGGTAAGGGAGTTATTTTAGAGGCTTCGGTAGAGGGAGTTATTTGAAGCCATCGCCAGAAATTTCTAGATACATATTCACACCTCATTAGAAGCTGTGCCTGGTAACGGCAAACCTTTAAGTTTAGGAAAAATAAAAAATATTATAAAAGAAACATTAAAAAAATGGAAATCATATATTAGAGGAAAAAAAAACTGTCAAAAAGGTATAGTAAATTAGTTGCCGATTTTTACCGAATGAATCATAGTTTTTTTAAATATTTATTTTATGTACTTGTAGTATAGTCAGAGTGTAGTAACAATAAGAAAATTGTCTGATGAATGTTTTTTTTTTTTATATAAGCGTTAATATCTTCTCTGAGGCCTGCAATAACTTTGGCCTCACAATCAACACAAAGAAGACTAAGGCGATGTATCAGCCAGTTCCCAGTAAGCTCTACGTTGAATCCAACATCATCATCAGTGGACAGCGTCTCAACCCGGTGGATAAATGTAGTTACTTGGGCAGCACACTCTCCAGACCTGTCATCATGGATGATGAAATGAATGCCAGACTCGCAAAAAGCTAGGGCCATATTTGGCAGACTCTGCAGCACTGTTTGATACAGGAGAGGTATCAGACGAGAAACAAAGATCAAGGTCTATAGCGCAGCAGTCCTCTCGACATTGATCTACGGATGTGAAACGTCACGCTAAGAAACTTAACTATTTTCACACAATCTGGCTCAGGAAACTCCTCGGCATCAGGTGGCAAAACAAAGTTCCTGATACGGAGGTCCTCGCTAGAGCGAACCTAGTATCTTCACCACCCTGATGCAGTCTCAGCTCCGTTGGATGGGACACGTAGAACACTGGCTCCCAAAACAGATATTCTTCGGAGAACTCACGATAGGCAAGCGCTCCCAAAGAGGTAACAGAAAAGCGTTACAAAGATTCACTGAAAGCTGCACTAAAACCTTCAGCATCAACCCTACTCAATGGGTGCGGATAGCCCAGGACAGAGCCAGTTGGAGCGCAGCTGTCAAGAAAGGTGCTAAATCTCATGAAGCCATTAGGAAAACCAAAGCTGAGACACGCTGTCTAGCCCGACAGGGCAACATTAGATCACTGACTGCAGCAACCATCAACTGCCCGCGGTGCCAGAGATTATTCCGAGCACGGATCGGACTGGCAAGCCACCTACGAGCTCCCCGTAAACCCCCCCCCCCAATAACCGGATGACTCGATGGTCCTAGTCGATTTCAACGGACGATGTCTAGCCCGACAGGGCAACATTAGGTCACTGACTGCAGCAACCATCACCGGCCCGCGGTGCCAGAGATTATTCCGAGCACGGATCGGACTGGCAAGCCACCTACGAGCTCGCCGTAAACCCCCCCCCCCAATAACCGGATGACTCGATGGTCCTAGTCGATTTCAACGGACGAACAGCAACAGTCTGATTACTCTAAAGAATAATTACATTAAAAGTAAAAATTCAAATAATTAAAAGATGCTTATTATACACCCCCACCCCTATTTTTCCCACAGCCTAAAATTTCTAAATTGTTAAGCAACCCCTGAAATTTTGTTAGATGACCGAGGATTGTGTCGTGACCTACATGTTGTGATATACTTCTCTAACCCATAAGCATAATGAACATTGAACAGGCGTGTTGGTGTTTCTGGTCACTGGCTGATGGTAGTTGCTGGTCTCTATTTGATGGTAGTTGCTGGTCACTGGCTGATGGTAGTTGCTGGTCTCTATTTGATGGTAGTTGCTGGTCACTGGTTGGTGGTAGTTGCTGGTCACTAGTTGGTGGTAGTTGCTGGTCACTGGTTGGTGGTAGTTGCTGGTCTATATTTGGTGGTAGTTGCTTTTCACTGGTTGGTGGTAGTTGCTGGTGACTGGTGGTTGCTGATCGCTGGTTGGTTACATTTTTCATTTTTCTGATAACAATGTATGCATATTTTTTTAAATTTTTGTGTACATCATCATCATGGCAATACCAACCAAATCTTTTTTCATTTAAGCCAATTTGTTCACTGTTAAATGTTTGTTAATATACATTACTATCAGTGAATTCTATGACATAACTTAGAAATGATTCACACACACATACAATTTTTGGCTATTGTGTATCAGCAGCCAATCAGCATATAATATGAAATTTTAATTGTAACTAATTAATTGTAAATAGGAAGTGCATAGACATAACCAATAATATTCATCTGGTTAAGACAAATAATTACACAAAGTTCTCAGTAGCACATTATTATTTCCAGAGCTGTGTGTTTCATTTAGCTTAAATTTAGTTTCGCACCAATTGCTATTCAGTTTTCTATTATAATATTGACTTACTTCGAGTAAAAATGTACACAAAGTTATGTCAAAACATGGAACGCTTCTATGCATGCACTTTTCACTTTTCCCCATCGGATGAAACACTTTAAAAAAAAGTATAAACTAACTCTTTTTCAAACACCTGGACCGTTTCCTTTTGTTTTGCCGGGCCGGGTGTGGGACGAGTCTGCTCTGAGTCGGTATTTTTGGTGATACGGGTCAGTAGCCGGCCTAGGACTAGGAAATGGTGCTTCTATTACAATGTGCACATTTAATTAGCTAATGAAAAGGTATGTCATCCTATGGCAGAGTTATATCAATATACAAAGTAGCTTACACAATTCTGCTGTTACTGTAAAAAACCTGCATCACATTTGACATGAACATAATGACAATTAAATGCTTGAAATTCTTCACGGATAGAATAAGACACATGCCTGTGTTGTGATGGGGATCATTCTTTTCCTTGGAGAGGTGTTATGACGTCTCTGTGATTATGACAATGAGGCGGGTGTGATGACATCATTAATACTGTTCTATATGGGATTATTTTTCACTCTTATTGGTTGGTGGACAGATTATATAATTGTTCAAATATTTTATTTATTGTTATCTTTTTTCTTTTTTTTCCGGGGGGGGGGGGGGGGGGTATTTGCAACGATCCACGTTTTTACATTAGACAACTGCGCTTCATGTGTCACCATGCAGTTGATACTCCAAGTCCACAGCTTCTGAGATGCTTCTCATAATGACTTGGTATGTTGATATTGTTAATAAGGAAAAGGGTCTTAAGTCTTGGCTAAACTATTGTAACAGCATTGTTATGGCCGGTTTTGTTAATTGTCTTGTAGAGGGGGTCGTCGCCTCCAATGCTACTCGCAGTTGTGGTAACTGGGGTTGGACCTCCAGTGATGTTGGAACCACCGATGCTTGGGATGGAGGCTACTATGGGTCCACCGTTACCACGCGCCGCCACCCCTTGCTGACCAGCAGCGAATGTGCTCACACCTCCCCCACCCATGCCCGCCCCACTGTCCTGCTTGTGGTTACTGTCTGCTGGAGCTCTCACTTTGCTGTTGACGTAGGTGTTCATGTCGGCCCCGTGTCCCGGCGGTGACACCCCTCCTTGGGACACGCCAATGTGTGTCCGGTGAGCGGGGGACGTCACCTGAGTGGGCACAGCAGTGTAGTTGCAAACGACAGTTTCCAGGGGCGGAGTAGTCCGTGGCTGAGATTGGGCTCGCCGGCTGTGAATGCTGGGCTGGGGGCTGGGGTTGTGGACGTGTGTGTTGCCTTGCGAATGTTTCACCGGAGATGTTACATGTTGGTGTGTCGACGCCCCTGACATTAAACTGATACACTCGGGCCCGCCGACACCCGACCCTCCCATAGGACAGGGGGAGCTTCGATTTGATTCGAGCTTTCTATTTAAACGAATTTCGTCTATATCCAGTTCAGGAGGGGGTAACGTTCTGTTGATCTGTCGCATTTTCTTGATTCTTTCCCTTTGATAACAGAGCCCAGCAAAGATAAGAACGTTGATGAGAAGAAGTGACCCACCGATAGCAACGACGATGCTGAGGGGAACCCCCGCGGTGGCCACGCCTTTTGAAGACACTTTAAGTGGTTCTGACGTCATTTCAACCGATTCGGGATTTCCTACTGGTCCGATTTTGTTGCTGGTGTTGTGAGGCGTCCCGCCATGAGGGTTGTTCTGATACGGTCTATTCATGATGTCATCAGTGACGTCAGTGTAATAATGTCCTTGTGTCGTACCCGTACCACCAACGTTGTTAAACGGGGTGGGTCTTAAAGGAGGCATGGGCGGCGGCGATGGAAAAATGGTGTCCAAATTGGGGATGAGAAGATGGTAGTCGTCAAAAGTGGACACGTTGTCCGATTGGTCGAGGAGATGCGTGGACTGATCCAATCCGTCGTCGCGATCAATCTTAGGGATGAGGTCAAGCCAGGCGGCCATCTTGAATGCCCGGTAGTGACTCCGTACGGTGGGACGTCGGCCTGAGGATTCAGAGAAATCTGTTTCTGAGAATATTGACACTGTGTCTGAATCTGGGAGGGTGTTAGTAGAAATTCGTCCTCGTCTTCATGCACCCATTACTTAGATGACGTCCTTCCCCCATTGTTTGCATTAACAGTGATCTAGTATACGTCAGTGTTTTCAAACTAAATTTTGGTAGATGCCAGAGCCTTAATTAAGGTTGAATAAAATTCATGCAGGATGATGGATGTGGCAATAAAAAAAGGGGGGGGGGGGTGTATGGAGTGAGTGGATGAAGCATTGTGCAACAGTGAAAAGCTTGATTCGTGACGTCAATTTTTTTAACACCTGATCTTTGATTCTGTTTCGTTAATCGCTCCAAACATTGAAATGTATGGTTTTAGGAGTTCAAATATTGTGTGCAAGTCTGGCAGAGTAAAACTGTTGTCAGTTTAAACAATAGTGTGTATGTCTGGTAGAGTTAACTGTTGTGTGTATGACAGGCAGATTTCAACTCTTGTGTGTATGTCTGGCCGAGTTAAACTGTTTTGTGTATGTCTGTCAAATTTAAATATTGTATGTATTTCTGGCAGAGTTAACTGTTGTGTGTATGTCTATCCATTTAAAATATTATGTGTAAGTCTGGTAGAGTTAAACTGTCGTGTGTAAGTCTGGTAGAGTTAAACTGGTGTATGACTGGCATAATTAAACTTTTGTATGCATGCTGGCAGAGTTAAACTGGTGTGTGTATGTCTAGCATCGTTAAACTGTCTCTTTAAACTATTATATGCATGTCTGGCAGATTAACTGTTGTGTGTATGACTGGCAGAGTTAAAATGTTGTGTATATGTCTGGAAGAGTTTAAATATTGAGTATATTTCTGGCAGCGTTTAAACACTGTGTATATGTCTGACAGGGTTAAACTGTTGTGTGTATCTCTATCAGTTTAAACTATTGTATGTAGGTCTGGCAGAGTTGACCTTTGTGTGTATGTCTGGCAGAGTTAAACAGAGTGCATGCCTGTCAGTTTAAATGTTTTTTGCAGAGTTAAACTTTTGTCTGTATGACTGATCAAAGTAAAACTAATAAACCTAACATAGACATGCTGTTGTGTGCTATACTGACAGGGTTAAACCTTGATTTGTTTAATCAAATATAGAAAAAACTTGTAAAGTTCAACTGTTATTTGTTTAGCTTGACATAGTTAAACTACTGTGTATGTAAATCACGCATGTATCAGCACATCTGATTGGAGCGAATGTAGCTTATGTTTTGCGTTTTATTACCTAACCTTCAATGTAAATAAGAAGAAGAGATTGGATATGAAACATTGAGGCATGAAGGGAAAAGTGTTTTCTTATATTCTACAACAAATTAGTGATTTAGATTAAATTTTTGTTGTCATGCAATGAAGCGTTAAGATAGCAGCCATCAGTCACTAGCTAAGTCAGGCGTATCGTATAACAATTCAGTCGCACAAGAGTCGTCAGAAGTATTTAAAACCCCAGTCGAGTCCAAGGTCAAGGTAAGTGTACATACCAAAAGGCAAGTACTCCTGCTTCTCCTTCGTGTATTTCGGCCATTTCAGGTCAACAAACCGGTTATTTATTTTCTCACCGTGGACAGAAGTTTGGTTCCTGGGTTCATTTGGATTTCTGTTAAGGAAGCAAACAAATTGTCTCCATTTAGTTGGGTTAAATAGCAAGTAGAGGGTTAAATAGCAAGTAGAGGGTTGAATGGCAAGTAGAGGGTTAAATAGCAAGTAGAGGGTTAAATGGCAAGTAGAGGGTTGAATGGCAAGTAGAGGGTTGAATGGCAAGTAGAGGGTTAAATAGCAAGTAGAAGGTTGAATGGTAAGTAGATGGTTAAAAAACAAGTAGAGGGTTGAATGGCAAGTAGAGGATTAAATAGCAAGTAGAGGGTTAAATGGCAAGTAGAGGGTTGAATGGCAAGTAGAGGGTTGAATGGCAAGTAGAGGGTTAAATAGCAAGTAGAGGGTTGAATGGCAAGTAGAGGGTTGAATGGCAAGTAGAGGGTTAAATAGCAAGTAGAGGGTTGAATGGCAAGTAGAGGGTTGAGTGGCAAGTAAAGGGTTGAATGGCAAGTAGAGGGTTGAATGGCAAATAGAGGGTCGGATTGCAAGTAGATGGTTGAATAGCAAGTAGAGGGTTGAATTGCAAGTAGAAGGTTGAATGGCAAGTAGAGTGTTGAATGGTAAGTAGATGGTTGAATTGCAAGTAGATGGTTGAATTGCAAGTAGAGGTTTTATTGGCAAGTAGAGGGTTGAATGGAAAGTAGAGGGTTGAATGGCAATTAGTGGATTGAATGGCAAGTAGAGGGTTGAATGGCAAGTAGATGGTTGAATGGCAAGTAGAGGGTTGAATGACATGTAGAGGGTTGAATGGCATGTAGAGGGTTGAATGGCAAGTGCATGGTAGAATTGCAAGTAAAGGGTTGAATCACAATTAGAGGGTTGAATTGCAAGTAAAGTTTTGAGTGGCAAGTAGTGGGATGATTTAGAAGTAGAGGGTTGAATTGCAAGTATAGGGTTAAATAGCAAGTAGAGGGTTGAATGGCAAGTAGAGGGTTGAATGGCAAGTATTGGTAGTACTTTGAGATATGTTGTATTAGCTTCAACCTCCACAGCTTTCAAAGTATCGGTACTGTTGGTTTCGAGGGTTGTTCTGAAGGGGGAGTCAATCCATTTGGACATTTTTATTTACTTTTTATACTAAGATCTAGATTCCAACATTGATACAGATCTAGATTC